ACAGTGTTTCTTGCTTTGTTTACCGTCTTCAGCGAGCAAAACAAAAGCGATTCTCTGGCTTTGAACATGTTCATCTTTTCTTATCTGTTCCGTAGTCGCACTTGGAGGGGGTCGGGGGAGGCAGAACAAACCCATAGCCTGCCTAACAAGCATGTAGAAAAAAGATGACTAACTAGGATTTAAGTCACAGTGCATTTGCCTGAGAGGCTTGTATCCAGTAGTCTGCATACAGTTAAGTGAGATCTGACAAAACGAAAGAACATGCAAAAATAAAGTTATGAAACAAGACGAAAGACCAAAAGTGGATGAAAGACCAGACCTTTCTACAAGTTTACCTATAATCGTAATAGTCGTCCCCATGTGAGATTAATTTTTTTTAGTTATTTGAAGCCCCACCCTGGCTTTTGCCGGGCGCCCTGAATATAGCCGGGGGATAAATATGGCCTAACGGCTGAAAGGGGTTTCTGGGACCTCTTCATGGGTGATCCGCATGGTGGCACTTTGTGTCACGGGGTGTTTATCGCTTGTGTGATGTCCTGGTTGGGTACATATATAGATTCCATCAATATGCGTCAAGGCAAAACTAGGTAAAAAGCTCTTTTTTTTTTTTTTTTTTTTAATGAGTGTTTTGAAGTAACAAATCGTGTTTGTGTTGGTGTGTGTGTGTGCATTACCCCCCAGTCCTAACCTCATGCTACTTTGTGTTTTGACTATCGGTGGGTCGCTCGTACATACGTTGGTCCACATTATGTCTGTCTGTCTGTCTGTCTGTCTGTCTGTCTGTCTGTCTGTCTGTCTGTCTGTCTGTCTGTCTGTCTGTCTGTCTGTCTGTCTGTCTGTCTGTCTGTCTGTCTGTCTGTCTGTCTGTCTGCAGGCTGTCTGTCTGTCTGTCTGTATGTGTGCGTGCGTGCGTGCGTGCGTGGATGCATGTATGTATGTATGTATGTATGTATGTATGTATGTATGTATGTATGTATGTATGTATGTATGTATGTATGTATGTATGTATGTATGTATGTATGTATGTATGTATGTATGTATGTATGTATGTATGTATGTATGTATGTATGTATGTATGTATGTATGTATGTATGTATGTATGTATGTATGTATGTATGTATGTATGTATGTATGTATGTATGTATGTATGTATGTATGTATGTATGTATGTATGTATGTATGTATGTATGTATGTATGTATGTATGTATGTATGTATGTATGTATGTATGTATGTATGTGTGTGTGTGTGTGTGTGTGTGTGTGTGTGTGTGTGTGTGTGTGTGTGTGTGTCTGTCTGTCTGTCTGTCTGTCTGTCTGTCTGTCTGTCTGTCTGTCTGTCTGTCTGTCTGTCTGTCTGTCTGTCTGTCTGTCTGTCTGTCTGTCTGTCTGTCTGTCTGTCTGTCTGTCTGTCTGTCTGTCTGTATGCGTGCGTGCGTGCGTGCGTGTATGCATGTATGTATGTATGTATGTATGTATGTATGTATGTATGTATGTATGTATGTATGTATGTATGTATGTATGTATGTATGTATGTATGTATGTATGTATGTATGTATGTATGTATGTATGTATGTATGTATGTATGTATGTATGTATGTATGTATGTATGTATGTATGTATGTATGTATGTATGTATGTATGTATGTATGTATGTATGTATGTATGTATGTATGTATGTATGTATGTATGTATGTATGTATGTATGTATGTATGTATGTATGTATGTATGTATGTGTGTGTAGGTAGGTAGGTAGGTAGGTAGGTAGGTATGTATGTATGTATGTATGTATGTATGTATGTATGTATGTATGTATGTATGTATGTATGTATGTATGTATGTATGTATGTATGTATGTATGTATGTATGTATGTGTGTGTGTGTGTGTGTGTGTGTGTGTGTGGTGTGTGTGTGTCTGTCTGTCTGTCTGTCTGTCTGTCTGTCTGTCTGTCTGTCTGTCTGTGTGCGTGCGTGCGTGCGTGCGTGCGTGCGTGCGTGCGTGCGTGCGTGCGTGCGTGCGTGCGTGCGTGCGTGCGTGCGTGCGTGCGTGCGTGCGTGCGTGCGTGCGTGCATGCATGCATGCATGCATGCATGTATGTATGTATGTATGTATGTATGTATGTATGTATGTATGTATGTATGTATGTATGTATGTATGTATGTATGTATGTATGTATGTATGTATGTATGTATGTATGTATGTATGTATGTATGTATGTATGTATGTATGTATGTATGTATGTATGTATGTATGTATGTATGTATGTATGTATGTATGTATGTATGTATGTATGTATGTATGTATGTATGTATGTATGTATGTATGTATGTATGTATGTATGTATGTATGTATGTATGTATGTATGTATGTATGTATGTATGTATGTATGTATGTATGTATGTATGTATGTATGTATGTATGTATGTATGTATGTATGTATGTATGTATGTATGGTATGTATGGTATGTATGTATGTATGTATGGTATGTATGGTATTTATGTATGTATGTATGTATGTATGTATGTATGTATGTATGTATGTATGTATGTATGTATGTATGTATGTATGTGTGTGTGTGTGTGTGTGTGTGTGTGTGTGTGTGTGTGTGTGTGTGCGTGTGTGTGTGTGTGTGTGTGCGTGCGTGCGTGCGTGCGTGCGTGCGTGCGTGCGAGCTTGCGTGCGTGCGTGCGTGCGTGCGTGCGTGCGTGCGTGCGTGCGTGCGTGCGTGCGTGCGTGCGTGCGTGTGTGTGTGTGTGTGTGTGTGAGGGTAGTTATGTATGTTAGTAGGTAGTAATTATTTATGTATGTAGGTATTATGTAGATATTTATATAGGCATGTGTACGTTGAAAAACCATGAACCGCGAAGAGATTTATGTCTGATGTATTTATTAACTGCATGATTCCATTTTTTTCTTCCACACAGTTGGAGCTGGCGTTTAATACAACCCCTGGCTTTGTAAACCTAACAGTAGAAGGATTCTGGTAAGGGAGTCCTGGTTTTCCTACACATTAAGTGAAATCACCTCTCAAACTCAAGGGGCAACAAAGGAGAATAAGGACTAATGTGTCCGTAATTTTCCATCAAACACGCAAGTACGCACACATTCACACATACATGCCCATCTCACAGACAGACACTCGTACACACATACGGGTACCACACACATATGTACACACGCGTTGACATTTGCTTCATCCAGACATAAATGTTTTTTAATCACAATCGACGTCTTTGCACATTAATCATCCCTATGCGTGCACGGTCCTCCTATGCAGCAGCCACTTCAAGGTACATCTACTGATGGTTCCCATGAGGATCAGGACATAATATAACATAAGTAGGAAGTGAAGAACTCCTTTGAAGTCTTAGGGCTCGTTGCAGTGTAGCCATTGCCTCAGGATTTTATTGATTGAAAACCTGCCGCCTTAACTTCCTTGAGCATTTCCTGGTAATAGTTTAAGGTCACGAAGACCTAACAGCCGGGGAAATGTTTTTGTTTAATCAAAAGAAAAAGCATTATTAGCCTTGTAAGTGCCACTGCTAACCATGGACTAGGAACATCGACTGATACAAAGTTCTAGGACTTATTTTCACCACTCCTCGCCCCCTATTCCTGCCCAGTTTCTGATTTAGAGGGAGAAATGAGAGAACTGCGGCAGTCTCTTTTGATATGGCTATTTGGTATAATATAGAGAGGATTGTTTAAACCAGTGTTTTCCAAACTGTTCTTGTTCGCGGCGCCTTTTTTCAATGAAAATTTTTCCACGGCGTATTAATTATAATTCTTTTACAATATTTCGCGGCGCCCCTGTGAAGAGGTCGCGGCTCCCCGGGGCCCTGCGGCGCACAGTTTAGGAATCACTGGTCTAAACCAATCTCATTCCGTTAGATGGGAGCCTTTTTTTTTTCAGGGCTGACTATGATTAGCAAGGAACAACCAACGCCTCCTTTAGAATAAATTAAAATCTGGAGGAGACCCTGGGAATGACAGCCCATACGGGAAAACCTGCCCGTTATTGCACTTCGATTTGGGGAGTGCGGGGAGCTTACTCCCGAGGGCAGTTACGTCCCATAACCTTACAGTGGGAGTGGCAGTCCGCAAGTAGTTGTATTTAGTGAGGAGACAATATATATTGTTACTTATATGCTCTAGTTCTGACCACACTATAAGCATCAAGACTGAATACTGTTAATGAGAACAGAGACATCCGATTTTAACAAGCTGTCGATTTCTGCGAAATGCGGGTTACGGCACAGTATTCCCCAGCCCCTTTTGTGTGTGTTTATTTGTGTTTTTTGTTTTAAATGTGTCTACATGGGGACTAGAGAACTCGTATCATGTTCACTTCTTACTCTATATACGGCACACATTTCTCTGCTCTTTCTGTCCCCTTGTTCTTTAATGATCAGCGATTCTGTTTCAATCGTTAAAATTTGTGAGGTTCAGCTTCCTAACGCTACAAAACGGACTCCTTTAGGTAGACAAATTTTAGAGTAAATGAAATAGCTGCGACTGATTGGGTGACTGTTTAAATCTCACACTATTTTGCTTCGCATAAGATGCCCAAGAAGGTAGTGCCCAAGATACAGAATAATACATACAATCTTTTCAGTATGGCTAAATGCACATTTAATACTACATAGAGATGTGTGCTCAAAAGAGACATGAATGATGCAGGTAGGAACAAAATGCCATGGTCTCTGTTGTGTGGAGACGGCACATCAGGAAGGGAACGAGAATGAAGGAAGAAATGATTGCGGAAAAGATGAGAGCTGGGCGTCTGAAAAGAAACGCATTAAAGACAACAGTTGCAAACGACGGTCCTGAAATCCCATGCTATAACTATGGAAGACTTTTCCTAAAGTGGGCGAATCTTGCTAGCCACACTCGCCCTCGCTATGGGCTGGGAGTCGCAGGCCTCCTCATAGCACAATGTAACACTATCGTCTGGAAATACGAAAAGTTCCCGATAATAATAATATATGTAATGAAATGCACATGAAAGGGGAATGCCAGTTACCGTTAATTTTTGTGAGAGTACAGTCCAAAGAAAGGTGGTGACAATATTGTTCATAATGTGAAATTCGACTTTTGCTTGAGTTTACTACATTTAACTTCCTGAGAACATCATCGATCTGCTGTTATCAGGGTATTTAAGTTCTGAAACGTATCAACCGGCTGCAGAAACTTGTCCTTGGTAAAAAAAAAAAAAGGACCCTAAGGCGTATTGGGCATATAAGGCTAGACCCATATTTCATAGACCAATCGGCACTTGGTGGGTGATATGGTAAGTATCACTCTGGCAGCCTCTACTTCACAGGACTGCACATCCTACCCATTCAAAGCTGGGTCGATCTGGGAGCCAATGTAATTTCTTTTTTCCAAGACCGGCTCCCTCAGGACACGAACCCACGGCCTTTCGATCCGCAGGCGAGCGTCTAGCCGCTACGTCATAGAGAATCCTAGGCTTATCCTATTTACTCTGATTTTTGTGTGTGTGTATTTTTATTTTAGGAAAAGGGGCAGGTGATTTGTTTTCTGTGTGTGTCACCTTTCTAATTAACATTACTGCATTGTTTTTCCACCCGCTGCTTAAACATTGAACTTCATTTGTATCGCCCCTTTCATTTCTGCCCATCGAGTTGAGTCAAGAAGTGACATCACAGCACTGAAGGCATTTCCATGCGTGCTCTGTCTTCATCTTCACCAGCCAGCGCAGAGTTCCAATACTGATGGTAACAGTCACAGTCTAGTTATATGTCTGTGTTGCCTTTCCTCTGAGTGTAGTGAGCTGCCAGACCCTCTGGTTACACCCAGGTGTCTTATTCTCTCCAGGCCATAATAATCTTCTTTCTCTACTAATTCTGTTGCTTGTTCCCAAAAGGCCTTGACCACATCTGACTTGTCATGTGTTCATTCACAACCCAGTGGTGCAGATCCAACCAATCTGTCTGCCTGTTCATTAGCCACTACGCTGGCATGACCGGGAGAATAAATCCACAGTATGCTCACTACATTTGACCTTCCCAGTGAAGCTTGCCACTTTGCTCGAAGCATCCCTGTCTTCACCTTTCTCAGCATGCCTTCAGAGTCTGTTACAATTGCCACAGGTGTATGCATCTTGTTCTCTAGCCACCGGAGAGCTGCTGTCTCCACCTCAACCTCCATTCTCATACTTCTGTCTGTCATTTCTTGTATCTGAATTTCATGTTATGCAATCAAAACTACATCGTTAGATTATTTATGGCAAGTTGTTAACAGTAAATTCACTTACTGATAAAACTGGTATTTCTTTCAGGGATCTCATCAGATTTCCTTTTACAAACTGAAAGGTTCCGATGTTACTGCACCGTCCTGTGTAACAGCTTATTTAGTGTGTTGAAAACCACCAGCTTGGTTGTAATTCGTAATCTATTCTTGTTGCTAGTATTATTATCATACAGTGTTTTTTTTTTTTATTCTGAAACGTTTGCCATCAATCTTTACATTTCTCATCACCCTTATCATGTCTATTTGACTTTCTCCAGCATCCCGATAACGAGTCAGTTTTACACTATTGGCCTCAGAGTCTTTTTTTTATTTTTTTTTTTTAAATTCTACTGATATTAATGTGTTTTACAATTTTTCTAGGAAAGGAAGCGTAGGTGTGAATTTCACATCAAATTACAAGGACGCAAACATACGTGATGTATTTACTAGTCTAGTCGGCAAGTTGCCTTCGTGGTACGATGATACAGAGCTCAATAAAAGCATTAACAATGGTAATCTATATTTTTGCTTTTCATATTTGATGTCAAAATTGTGAATAATAATAATTTTAAAAAAAAAAAAAAAAAAAAAAAGGTTACTTTCCCCTTAAATCGGTGACTGTATCAGGGTGGTATCAGTACTGGAAATACCAGCTTTTCAGTACTGGAAATGCCAGCTTTTCAGTGTTGGAAATACCAGCTTATCAGTGCTGGAAATACCAGCTTATCAGTGCTGGAAATACCAGCTTATCCGTGTTGGAAATACCAGCTTATCTGTGCTGGAAATACCAGCTTATCTGTGCTGGAAATACCAGTTTATCAGTGCTGGAAATACCAGCTTATCAGTGCTGGAAATACCAGCTTATCCGTGCTGGAAATACCAGCTTATCAGTGCTGGAAATAACAGCTTATCAGTGCTGGAAATACCAGCTTATCCGTGCTGGAAATACCAGCTTATCTGTGTTGGAAATACCAGCGTATCAGTGCTGGAAATACCAGCTTATCAGTGATGGAAATACCAGTTTATCATTGCTGGAAATACCAGCTTATCAGTGCTGGAAATACCAGCTTATCCCTGCTGGAAATACCAGCTTATCTGTGCTGGAAATACTAGCTCTGTCCAGCAAGAAAGTCTCATTGACCCAGCCTTGATACTTGATGTTCAGTATCTTTCTCAAATAAATTATGTGGACGTGGTTGAGCGTCTATGCATGGCGTCTGTATACAGTACATGTTTCACCATCATTTGCAGTACAGGGAGCACTGCGGCTCTTTATACCTTCGGGTAATTTGCAGACTGATGCCACTTCGATGCCAGACAATGGTGTATAGTCTGCCTAAAATGGAACTGACTTAAGAGGTCCTCGTGTTTACCTCATTGGCGGTAGTTAAATGTGTGAATAAAATGACTTGGACGATGAACTGGTTTAAGGGGTCACTACACGGCATTTTTCCCAATTTATGACAAAAATATCACTTTTTCAATGTGTTCGTTTTTGTAAAGTTCGGCATTCGTACAATAGATGACACAAAAAATTTATGTCATTTGTAAACAATTTAGCATTGAAAAGTTAATACTAATGACACCACTTCGTGCACTTTTTTAAGATTAAAAAAAAAGTTTAAAAGTCAGTTTTCTCAAATCTTTATATTTCAGTTTGCTGTGTGTGTGAAATCCTAAAATCTAAGCTAAAATAAAGAGTAGAATCATCAAATTTTGTATGCATACTCCAGAAACAATATTATAGGGACTGGTTTATATAAAATTAGATTTTAGAAAGTTTTTGTTTCTAAAATTTGATTATTGTCTTATGATGCTAGATTTTTTTGACTTTTTCAATAAACCTACATTTTAAAATTCTACGAAAAATATTTAAAAACATGTTTAAAGTAAATAAACTAGACCAGTACCTTTAAATAGGACGAAAGGTCATGGATCTATCATTTATTGTTGAATACCTATGTAAAATTTAAGGATTCTAAGTACATATTGTTCTTTTCACAAGATGGCGGATATTGCTATGACAACTATGATATTTTAACACTTAAAGTATACAAATGTAATAAAATGTATCCCCACAAATGGCCATTATAAAATAACTGCTCTAAGTCTGTAAATAAAAAAATAAAAATATTTGGTGTAGTGACCCCTTAAAGTGAGGAAGAGTTGCACAACTTCGTCGACCTCATTCTCTCGCCTGATCCCATCTAGATTCAGTGCAGGACAAGTCGAGACGACTGGAGATGAAATCACGTGAAGTAATGGGGGTTTTCTACCTTCCTCATAGTGCTCTTTGCGCTCTACATCGCGTTGCTGGTACTCGCCATCAAGTCTTTTTTACCAAGTATTGATTTCCTTCGTGCATTCAGCCGAGTCCAGTCTGCATGCTTGGATAAGCAGATTATGACTCACTAATAACTGTTCGGCTACCATCCCTTTCTACCTGTAAAAGTCGTTACGGTGGATGGGTGGCCGCTGCTGCATACTGGCAGCTGCTATGAGCTACAAGTGAGAGTTGGATGTCAAGCTTAGATCAAGGCAGGGAAGCTGTCCTGAAAAGGACACGACAAACCACCAACAGCAACGTTACAATACAGGTAGATAAAGAGGCTATCTGAATTAAAAGTAATTCATAGAACCAGAAGTAGCGATTCTTCATATCTATTTGTTTTCTTGCTGTTATTAACATTGTATATACTGGTGGGTATATAGTATATTCAGCAATGAAGGTTCATAAGGCGATACTGTGATGATGTTGCAAAGCCGCTGTATGAACCAAAACGTTGCAGTTAGTTGAGCTTACACGGATGTACACACATAACTCGGGCCCGGGCACAAAGCGAAAGTCCAGACGAACAACCAGGACCTTCCGCCGGAGCTTAAAGCCGGCGGAAGAAGAAGAAAAAGAAGAAGAAGAAGAAGAAGAAGAAGAAGAAGAAGAAGAAGAAGAAGAAGAAGAAGAAGAAGAAGAAGAAGAAGAAGAAGAAGAAGAAGGAGATGATGAAAGAAAGGATAACAAGAAGAACAAAAAGGAGGAGGAGAAGATATATCCACATCGTCGGCTCATTTACGTTTATTTTCAATTTTATCAGTCTCTGTGCATTTTTGTGTCCTTCTTTCATTCCTAGCATCGGCGTGTGTGGATTAGGCGTTGCGAACCCGCTTCGTAATGCCCTGGTGCTAGGTTAGATCCCAGCTGCGGACGGTTTGTCTTGCCTTGGTTTCGACAGTGGTACTCCATTCTGAGTCTTTATTGACTTAGGTCATTGGGACTAGCTCCATACTGTATTGTCCACTTTGGCTAACCTCATCGAGAAGATCCATGCAGAAATAGGTCCCTTTGCCATTCGGGAACAGAAGAGAACTAAAACAGTTTAGTAAAGATCCGTATAAACAACGACTAATACGGTCATTTAATTTGTTAAGCTATGTTTGCAAACCTATTTCTTGAAGCCTCAGAGATGTGGTTTTATAGAAGAATGTTTGATTACACTGGACTGTTTAAAAAAAAGCAACCAATAGGTTTTGAAAGAGACGGGAGCCCGATAACAACTAATCACAGACATCAGAAGGAGACAGTCATCATTTTTCGGCCATGTTGTGAGAAGAGGGAAAATGAAACATGTTGTGACCACTGGAAAGATCTGTGGGAGGAGGGATAAAGGAAGACAACGAGAGAAGATTCTTGTCGCATGACATGGAGGTGTGTCAGCACACGAACTAATACATGCTGCAGGAGATCGCAGACTGTGGAGAGGCATGATCGCCCACGCAAGTCGGCTAGGCACCTGATGATGATGATGTCTGCAATGGCCAGATGACTGAAATGATATGATAAACAAATTTGAACGTACTGATTAACATTTAAAGATACAGAAGTAGTCGAGACAGAAGAGAGCGTTAGACAACACAAACAGCAAAAGTCGTAGTTTTCACACTGGGAATGGAACCTAATCCCTCCAAAAGACGACGGAACCTCGCTGCCGGAACGAGTGTACTTTGGAACAGGCAAAACTAAACACCCCTTAAAAATTATCAACATTAGCATGATCGATCATATACCTGAGCCAACAACTTTAGAAAATACACAGTTCGTAGTTAAAGACATTTATGTTAATCGATCATATAACCCACTTCATACAATAGCAAGAGTTTATGAATATTATTATACTGACAGTGAGTGTTGGAAAATGACAACAGAAACTACGCACGAACTGGAGACTTTTCACAATAAATGTCTAAGGAAAATTCTGTCAATATTTTGGCCAAAAAAGATCACAAATGAAGAACTGATAAAGAAACAAAAAACTTTCATCACAGGCAAATGTTATTAAAGGAAGAAACTGGAGATGGCTTGGACATGTTTGCTGAATGCCTCGTGACACTTTGGCAAAAACAGCTCTCGGACTGTCAAAAATGGGAAATGGAGACGTGGACGACTTTAGGTGCCCTGGAGAAGGGCAATATAAATACATTGCACAATTTATTGCCAGGCATATTTTGCTGTATCTCGTCAGGTGCGTTACTACAAAGTTACATCACAATAAAATAAAGCACAAAACTGAATAAATCCAACTGAAATGCGAATAGTTTTTGACATATCGTGTGTTTTTTTTTTTTTTAACCACCAGAAGCTCACCGTAGTCATGTAACTAACCACGATAACTTCAGAATTACTATAAATTCCGTCTGCTTACAAAGGAGAAGGTTGTTGAAGCACATTATAATTTGTTTATCATTTGATTTTCACGATCTTGGTTTTTATTTTTATTTTCTGAAGTATATTACTATAGTATACTTTGCTTCTTCCTGATGTCTTCCTGTTATAGTGGTACGAAAGATGTGTGAAGAAGAAGACAGCTGTCCTAAAAGCTACCATTGTAGTGTTGAAAAAAGTCAACAACAATTCGAGCCAATCTGTGAATATGTTTGTCTTCAAAGTGAGTGTCAGAACAATGGATACTGTGTCGTGAACATAGACAACCAGCCAAAGTGCAGGTCAGTTAACTTATATTTATATGTGTGTGTGAAACAAATTGAAAAAGAGAAAAACAGAAGAGAGATGTAAAGGCAGAGAAGATATGAAGTTATATGTTTGGGTGGAGTTTGTAGAATAAAGACAGTTATAAGACCGCTAAGGTCACACGTACATTTTTTCTCTCACAATTTCGAATCTATCCCAACCCAAAGACTGTTTTCGATAACTTTTGGCAAAGTAAAAAACTCAAAATTTTTAACTCTAATTGGTGGTCCGAAAGGACGCTATGTGGAAAGCTCGGTCTCTACAAGATGCGCCTGGCCGAATTAGGAGCTATTAACCAAGAGGAAAACATGAGTTATGAGTTGGATTATCTTCACAGCACTCCATAGGTTCTCAGATTAGCCCCTCAACATATTCATCAGCGTCGCGCGGTTAACAGTGCCAATCTTATGTTGGTTGACAAGACTTAGTTTTTTGTCCGGTGTGCTTCTCATGCATGACTACTCCGATATTTACTCCTAATTCTCGTATTCTTAACAGTTATATAGACAAGTTGCTTCCAAAATCCTCAGAACGTCCTATCTCTCTAAGGGCATCCATGGGTCGGCCATCTTCAGTTATTGCAGCACCTGCCAGTCTATCAGCTCTTTCATTACGAACAACACCTCCATGACCTGGGATAAATATGAAGATAAATTACTCAGCACACACATGCGGGAATAGTCCTGTGATTCTAGCCATACGAAAGCTTGTCTTACCACCATCATCTCCATCGTCACGCTGCTGGTAGTCATGGAGAAAGCCTCGCTGGTTTCTTGAAAGGACTAAGCCAGACAGCTGGCGCAAATATCAGAACTTTGGTGGAGTAAAAAAACCCAGATCACAAATATAACCGGATACTGTATTTTTTTTTTAATAAATATTTTTATTCCTCAAAAATGGAATGGAATATAATTTTAAAACCAGTTAGAATAAAAATCATTTATTATATAGGTAGGTTAAGGGCTTGTGTAATATCTTAAATCACTAACTTTACTCTTGTTGATGCCCCGAATAATAATTATAATGAGTAGTAAAAAGGTTTGTAATATTTGAATACACTGACTTTATCTTGTAGATGCTTTGAGACGGATGACTACATTTACACTGGGGAAAACTGTGAGATAAAGACAGAAAAGCTGACCATGAGCAAGGATAAAATCATCGGCATTGCCGTTGGAGTAGGAGGAGGTGTTATTCTTCTTCTTCTCATTATCGTTGTCATCA